CGCTATGTGGGGCACCACTGTACAGCAAGTGGGTATGGGCAGGCACAGTTTGTCTCAAATAGGAACAGGGCTTATTGGTATTGATATCTATATTTCAGCGCAAAAGTCAGGTCTTTGAAAATTGCATGTCTAGGTCCTTTAAAATTCCGTCCTCACTGCAGCTTTGCCTCTGAACTTTTTTCTTCTGTTTCTTTCTTAGAAGTATTGATTTTCTTTACGGATTAATCTGATAATTTGTTTTTATTTTGATGATTCATTTAATTTTGAGAAGTACTGATGCATTTAGAAGAAATTATGGTGTGAGGCCTGCACTATTTGTGTGTGTGTGTGTGTGTGTGTGTGTGTGGTCTTGTTGTTTGGAGCAGGAAGCTAGGAAACTGGAGTTCCTCCTTGGTGTGCTCTTTGCTTCACTGTGATCTTCTGCCAGCTGATTGTTTCCTGCTTTCCTTTACCCCTCTATAAAGTTTGGATAATTTCCTCATTTGGGAAGTAGTGAGGCTTGGATAATGATGGCACATAACGTTTCTTTAATGCCAGGACATAATTCTACAGAGTCATCTGTTGAAAAAAAAACCCTCTTTTAAACTTATATAAAACTGATTGACACGTCACCAAGTAAATATAATGGAATGAAGGGTGGGGGAAGAGAACCCTGTTGCCTTTGGACCCTGCAGAGCACTCAAATGAAAGCAATTACAATTTAAGGCCTTTTCCTTTAATGACTCAAACTGAGTAGAAAACACTCCCAGCTTATTTTTTCAGCTGTTTGCAATGCTGACAGTAATGTAGTGAGGAAATGCTACATTGAAAGAATTGCTAATTGTGTCTCAGTTGGCTAGTTGTGCCCATTCATGTGACTTTACTGGGTAGTCTTTAACTTCCCGAGCCCCTGGATTTGCCTTTAACCTCAAATTGAAAAGTACAGTCCATATAATTTTGCATGGTATTATATTCCTTTTCTCTCTCCCATCCCTCTGTATTTTTCTTCCCTCTTGCTACACAGTTGTCTTCATCTTAACAGAAATTTAAGCAAGGTTAACCGTCTTAAGGAAATGTCATAGCTGCTGCCCATCTTTGGCTTGGTCATGACTCAGTTTTGGATCATGACCACCAACCAGCTCAAGATCTAATAATTCTGCTACATACAGATGAAGGCGAGTCCTTCTAGCACGCAGAACAACATCTCTGTCTCAGCAGGAGAGGAATGACCAGCACTCCAGCATTTTCTCCTGAGCTCCCCAACCATTTATGTCTGCTGAAAGATAGACCTCTTTAGGCCATGTTGTCTGTTCTTCTTCCTGTAAGCTCGCCTAGTGCCCTGGAAGTGGTGATGTTCTCTTGCAGAAATCAACTTCTGTACATGAAACAGCTTTTTGTCTCAGGCAGCAAAATGCCTTGGACAGGCCCTGCTGTTAATGCAACTCCCATTAAATAGTTTTTTGTGAAACACTGATGTAAGACTCCCAGATGCCAACTCTTATTTCCCCATTGTTCGTCCAAACCTGTTGCATAATGCAATTGCTCTTTCTCTGAGTTTCTGGTGACACAATATCAAGCATGGCTGATTATTGTACCTGGTCAAACATCCTGGGGATCCTTCCATGCAACTTCTCTTCTATCTCAGTGGCTTTCAAGCCTTTTCTATAGTGAGACTATTTCTGTTAGCACATGTTCCCAAATGACTGAGACGGAAGGAAATCCGTCCTCCTTGTCCCAAAATAATGAAATTATATTCCTCTAGTTATGCTCTTAAAATTTGGAGAAATTTAAACTAGAGCCCTGATATATCTACATTTAGTACTTCTAGTTGTTTATTTGATTAGATTATGCATAGAAGAAATAAGAAACATAGGCCACAGGTCTATGTATACAGAATGCAAGGTGGAGGCGATGAGGATCATGGGAGAAAGAGGGTGACAGTTATATTACTGGCAGGCCTTAGACATTATAGTGGCATTATTCATAGCAATAATGATCAGTCAATGTGCTGAGTTCATAGACATCAATATTCAGATGATTTTCCAGGTGAGTGTTGAGGTCAGAGTTACATCAAAGTAGAGAACTTTTTTGGTCACAGATATGCCATGATTGTGGGTGAATCCAGAGCATCCATGTATATGGGGTACATCCATGTACCGTATTTTTCGCTCCATAAGACGCACCTCTCCATAAGACGCACCAGATTTTTAGGAGAAGAAAACAGGGAAAAATAATCTGTTTTCTTTGCTCCATAAGACACACAGACTTTCCACCCTCCGGTTTTGTGGAAAAAAATGTGTCTTATAGAGCGAAAAATACGGTATATAGGGTGAATCCTTGGTCCTATTTAATCCTGTGCTTTGGAGCCTGGGAACGTAGCCCACTTGATTAGATTGTATTACACTATTTAAACCTGAGAAATGGAATGTAAATACTTAGTGTGAGCCATTGTCTGGAGCAGTGATTCTCAGCAGCTTGCGCAAGTACTACTGTACTAGAATAAAGGTGTGCTTTAGGTGGGACATAGGGTTTTTCTAGCCATTACTGAGAATTTGCTCTCTCTCAGTCCCTATGTTCTGCTGCGGACATAATGTGCAATATTTAGTCTATTACTCAGGTGTTTTACAGTTGCCATAACAGTTGTGCTCAATCCTGATAGAATTTTCAGTAAAATGGAATGGTTTTTTTTTTGTCTTCTCCCAATGATACAATTACAGTTTCTTATCTTCTTAAGATTACCATAAATATTAGCAGTATAATAACAGAATGCCTATAAATATACATATATTCTTCTTGGGTGAAATGGGCCTTTTGTGCTTATTATGGCGGAACCCAGGTTCTTTGATGGAGTGTCTGGTGGGGGAATGAACTATGAAAGAGTAAGAACTACAGGTGTAAACTGTTGGATGTGCATCGCACCCTCTGAGGACAATCTGCCATAAGTGAGCTCAGTTTGGCACAAATCAGCCCTGTTTCATTCTTTGGTAGAGTAGGAATACTAATAATGTATTTCACAGTAAGAGACAAACAAAAAGGACTTCAGAGCAATTGATTTAATTTCTGCTGACTGACTGTCCCCTAGTTCTTTCAAAAAAAAAATTGAGATGTAATTTTATGTGACAGGATTCTAGACAAAATCCAGAGAAGCCACAGCTAAATTTTCGTGTACAAAATAGTTTGTACCTGATAGTAGTGCTGAAAATATACAGTGGTACCTCGATTTACAAACTTAATCCATATTGGAACGGCGTTCGTGCGTCAAAAAGTTCATAAGTCGAGGGAAAATTTCCCATAGGAATGCATTGAAAACCATTTAATCCATTCAGGCTGTTTTTCGTTCAAATATCGAGGCGCTGTTCGTAGGTAGAGGCGTTAGTTCCCATAGGAACTAATGCAAAGCTGGTTAATCCGTACTCTACCACTA